ATCCGCTCCCTTAAACGCAGCTCATCCCGCACCAGCCACCTTCAGCGCGTGTCCAGAGGCGGAGCAAAACCTTGTTGATCGGTGCAGCGCGTACGTGGTCCAGCAGGTCCTTGCGCGGCGTCATCGTCCAAGCAGCGCCCGTGTCCAACACCCAATAATCCAGGGGGTGCAGCTCTGCTCCAACCATGGCAGAGGCGTCTCCTTGCTTCCCCTGCTCTCCAAAATGAAAGAACTGGCCCGCGGTGCGCTCCTTCTTCTTTTCCGCACCGCCGTTGCTCTTCGGGTTGTTGTCGGACGAATAGGCGACCATGTTCGCGCCGTTTTTCTGGTTCCTCCGTGCGCCGCCATCTTTCTCACAATACCAGCAACTCCCTTTCATTTTGCCACCAGCACCCGACTTGCCCCCACGTCCAGATTTCGCACCGCGACCCCAACCGGTACCTCCTTGTTGGTCGTTGGAGTCGTCGTCCTTCTTTGCACCACGTCCAGCACCACCGAAGCCACGTCCTCTGCCACGTCGGCTCCCTTGCATCCCGTAGCCGCTGCTGCCGTCGTTTCCACCCCTCAGTTGGCGGCGACGGAAGTCCTCCTCCAGAATCTTTGTCCGCACCCACTCGAGTATCCACGAGCTCTGGTTCTGCGGCAGGCTCAATCTGCTCGTGAATTGAAGCCACGATTCTAGCAGCAGCAAGAGCATCTTCAAGCACTTGGTGTGCTCCGAGTAGGTGATTCCCGCGGTCGCCAACTTCGCGTAGAGGTCGCGCATCTTGTCCAGGACAGGTTGCACCGGCTCTCCCTCGCTCAGGCGCAACACGGACAGCTCCCCCTCCATCATCAACGTTGCAACAATGGAGGTCAGGGCGTGCAGCTCCTTTAATACGGTCCACGCCTTCGGACCGCACTCAACCTCCGGCAGCAGGTGCATGACGTGGTGACACTGGTTCAGCTCCAAACTCTGCGACATCAAATAGTAGCTAACTGAGGAGCGCTCGTCCCAATCTTCCTGCAGCGTAGGGTCACTCGGTCTAGGCTCCTCCCCAATCATTAGTTTCAGCAATCCAATCTGACGGAAATATAGTTGCATTTTCCAGGCCCAATCATCATAGCCCTCACCATTGAACTTCTCGACGGTGAAGTTTTTCACCACCTCCTTGACTAGCGAGCCCTGGTTTGTTCGCGCTCCCCTTGGCGCTGAAACACCAGAATCATGGCTGTTGCTACGATCTTGGGCTGAGGATTCACCAGCTCCTGTCGAGGTGTTGCCCGCCATAGCTACCTATAACGAGGATCACTATAACGCAGCTCTGATACCAGCTTGTTGGTCTAAGGGACTAATACACTCAAGCTATTAAGACTTTATCAAACTTAAAACCTCTCCTCGGGGTCACCTCCAAAGGTCCTTGGGTGCCTGGTACAAGACCAGCCCCTATCCTCGGGTCCGAGTTTGTAGAGAGAGGGATCAAGAGGGACTTCGTCAAAACAGCAAGAGTACCTTGAACGTCGCACAGTGTATTGTGCGGACCGTCGTTTGGATTAAGCTGAGAATTTGCTATATCGAAACTCGCTTCAAGAGCTTTAAAATGAACCAAGTTGCCTCGCGAAAAGTTCTGCCATTACGAAGTTATGGCCCGGACAGCGTTTGCCTAGTGTTGGAGTGCTAGCGTACTAGCGTTGACTCGGGTAGCATTCCACCGTCGCACCGCGTAGAAATGAAATTCCAGAAAGGGAGGAATTCGCTTGAATCAAATTGACTATGTCCAGGTACAAACAGAGAATGAATAAATAGTTCTAGCTAGCAAGGACCTTGGGAATAAACCTGGGAACAACCAGGGATGATCCCAAATAATTCCAAGCAACAAAACCAACCTGGCTGGACAAAACAGCAGGGGTTAGGTTGGTAAACAACCTCTGGTTCTGTTTTTCCAACCTAGGAAAACAACAACCAGGTTCAGGTCCTAAAAACAGAACCTGTTTTTGTCTTTGTCCAACCAGCCAAATGCTGGTTCCGCTGGTTTCCCCTGGCCCTGTAGCAAGCAGATACAGACAAACAACATCCAACCTTCACCTAAATTGTACCCCTATAGTGCCTGCCCTGCTACACTATAGTCAACCAAACAAAACAGTACAATTTCGAGTTGGATAGAACTGGATCTGCACTATCAATTCAACCGAACCGCAAAGCTTCCATCTTGGGTTCCTTTGCGAGCTCGTCCTTTCTGCTTGTACTGTTCATAGCACGTACAATGTTGTGCAGAAGCGCACAATGCGCGAGTGCGTGCAAATGCTTCAAGCAAAAATTGCAAAAGCAAACAAACACACTAACATTCCATTCACACCCAAATGCATTCGCACACGCATACTCGTACAAACAGACGGCAGGATGTCGTGCAATGTGAATTTGCACCCAACAATTTCGATGGTCATCTCTGGCCTCGGCCCTGACTTGCGACAATGTCAGTCACTCCTTCGCGCCCGAGCAACAATATCGGAGTCGGCTCTGTGCGCCACGCTCCTTTTTTAACAAAAGGAGATTGTCTTGTACAATGAGAAGAATGTCAAACGGGAGAAATTAGTCTTTTACACAAGAGCGTCACAAGGGGAGCAGCGCGGAAAGAAAGGAGCTTTCTGCAAATACTGCAAGAAGTCTGGCCACACTATCGACCAGTGCTACAAGCGTCAGGCTGTTGATGAATGGCGCAGCGCCCTCAGTCAGCAACCCTCGGCACAAGCAAAACCTTCTGCCGCAACCTCCACTGTGTAACCTCCCTCCGTTGCCAGCACTTCTCAATCTCCTGCACTCATCACGGCGAAGGATAAAGGGAAAGGGACAATCATGAGTTGCATGGCTTGCTGCAACAGAGGGTTCTGATACTACGATCGAGTAACATTCGCACTTCACGATCCCATCAACCCTGTTGCGCCTAGCCCAGACAATGGCCCAACAGTCTATACCCTGATTGATCGTCCCTCAGACATTCCACCCGACTTCGAGCTCCCTCCGCCTACTCCGGAATCGCCGCCGAGCATCTCCGCAAACAGGTACTTCGATCTCTCACCGTACACTGGCGACTTTGATCGCATCATCACACCCAAAATCGCCAACATCGCACGCCAACGTCACGAGGATTTCAACACCTGGTACCTCGACAATTGTTGCGAGCAGCACATGGTGGGATCGCCGACGTTCATTAGCAACTCACGGTGCATGCGACGACCCTGCGAAATCACCTTCGCCAACGACGGGAAGATGAAGGCATATGACATTGGCGAAATATACCTCAAAGCCAATGATACAAAGTTCACTATTCACATCGGAGACGTCCTCGTCGCACCTGAACTGCAATACAATCTACTCTCCTCAGCTCAGCTCATGCGGTGCGGAGTCGACATTCGCAGCAATCGTAAGGATAAAACCTTCGAGCTATTCTACAACGCAACTTACATCGGGAAGGCAATCGATGACGATTGAGTTTTTGTGCTGCAATTCTCGGCCCAAGGCACTACCGGCAATTCCGACCGTACACTACTACTGAAGACAACTCCCACGGAGCCACCAACATGGTTGCATCCCGACGAGATGGATCTCAAGTGGCCTGCCTCAGATGGCCTCCTGCGTCTGCGCACCGTTCCGACCGCCTCGACTTCCAATCCTACAGAGACCGGACCTGCCACAATGGAAGAAGACAACGACACGTCAGAACCTGCAGCACAAACCACCGAGGAAAACAAGACAGCCGGAACAGGCTGGACAAGCACTCTCGAGCCCATGCTCGGGCCTTGGGGAGAAATCCTAACTCCAAAAGAAGCAGCCGCAAGCGGATGGGACGCTGTCTCAACAAGAGAAGTCGGCACAACCAGATGGGAAACCTCAGCTGAAGCGGAACGAGTCCATGACGAAGTTGCTGGGCTACCTCCTGCGGAAGTCGCCGCCATCGACCCATATTGGGCAGCACGCGGCACCAGCTGGGGTGGTCCCCCTCTCCCCAATCAATATGCTCCTGACACACCAGAACCAATGGAAGAAGAGTCAGCAGAAGAAGTAACTTACGAATTTTTCGGAGAAGCAGCAGAATTACCGGCACCTACCGAAGAGCCGCCGTCGCGAGAACAAGGTCCACAGGCAATTGAAGTCATCGGAGCCGAGTACAGCTACTTCCGAATTCCCATGAAGGGACTTCCAGTTCGCGACTGGCCCAATCAGTGCCTGCTTGTCACCGGAGACCAGGTCGATGCCGGCGACACCAACGACATCATCGGTATTCCTCACGGGCTTCTGGAACGAAAGGCAATTCACACGTTCGCCGGCGACACCGACGACGCCGGACTACCGGCACTGCTGACGACACGACGGTTGCCTTCGCTCAACCTCCCCCAACTGTCCCACCCCTCTTTCACACACCCCTTGCTCCACCCCTAGCTCCAATCTCGTGTCACCCCCCTAGCGCGACTCCCTCGGCTCCCACACACCCACCCCCCTCAGCGGGAGCTACAGCAGTGGGAGAGAGAGGAGGAGGATGAGCAAGGGACGACGCACACCCGCCAACCCCATACCCGCCACCCCCAAACCCTCCCCCACAGCTGCACGCGCAGCAGAGAGACGACGAGGAAGGAGGGGGGGGGGGACGGGGAAGAAGCCGCCCCACAGCTGCACGAGGGCAAGGGGCGGCGCGCGGGTCCACAGGGTAGCACGCGCGGGTCCCCAAGGGCGACGCGCGGGTCGACGGAGCTGCGCGCGCGGGTCTTACGGGGCGGCGCGCGAGTCGACGAGGGTAGCGCGCGGATCCTACGGGGTGGCGCGCTGGGCAACGGGGCAGCGCGCGGGTCCACCCGGCAGCGCGCGCGGATCCAGCGAGGCAGCGCGCGGGTCCCACAGGGCGTCGCGCGGGTCCAGCAGGGGGGGGGGGGGGGCGCGCGGGTCCCACGGGGCGATGCGTTGGGCAGAAAACCGCCGCGTGCTCGCGCGCCCAAGGCGCGAGATAGGCAGGACAGCAGCGGAAGCATTAGGTGGGCCCATCCACAGGATCGACGAGGGAGGGTCGACCTGCTCTGATAGCATGTCAGAAAGTAGGAATGAAGAATGAAACAGAGAAGAGGGGTTTGCACTAGCAGGCAGTTGAGTACATATAGGAAACCCTAATTTGGGCTATACTTGCTATAGAGTACCCCACTGCAGGCTAGACAAATATCACATTCTGACAAGGTGACCGCCTTCACCAGGTCGTCCCTAAGCTCTTGGACGACTTTCGCAGTCTCGGCAACGGCGATCCCCTGCGCCTCGATCTCCATGGCGGCATTCACCTCATCAGAGATGACGGTTTTGATCTTCTCACCCAGAGCATCTGCCACACCTTGCAACGGCACGTCGTCTTCCCATCGCCTACCCTGTGCAGCAGAAGCCGTCAAGTGCAGGGCCTGTACGATGGGCAGCCACTTCTCGTTCATGAATTCTAGGGTGGAGCCGCGGCAGTTCACCGCCTCCTGCACGACCTCCCTCATAGCGTCCACCACCGTTTGGAGGCTCCTCTCTGACATCTGCTCGTGAGAGGTCATGCTGTCGGCGACCGTCGTGAGCTTGCTCACGGCCGAGGTGACCACGCCAAATAGCGTGTCCATCCGTGCCGTCTGGAAATCCAGCCTCTTCTCCGCCACCAGCTTCTCCTCCCTCAGCTTCTTGTTCTCCCTCTCCGCCGCCTTCAGACGGTCAATAGCCGCCTTAGACGCCATCCTAGTTGTGGTCGATCCACCGCTGCCCCGCGCCTTCTTGCCCGACTTGGGTCCGCTGCCACCGCTCTTATCCGCAACCTTCTCACTGGCAAACTGTACAGCCTCCTCTTCGCCGGTGACCATCACGTCGTCGTCCTCACGCTCCTCGTCCTCCTCCTTCTTGTCCGAGCCACCGTCCTGCTCCCTGCCCCCCTCCTCGTCCTCCCTCTCGTGCTCCTCCTTGCTGCCATCTGTGGGTCCGTGCCCGCCAGAGTGCGACTTCGCCGCAGCCTCGTCGGCCTCCCCACCCAGAGCGATGCCGGTTCCGACGCCGCGACCCACGGTCGACGCCGCCTCCCGTGTGTTCAGAGCGGCCTTCTCCACGTAGTGCACCAGCTCCAGTCGGAGCGCCTTTACGCCGACCAGCTTCGGGTTCTCAACGATGAGCGGATCGTAGCTGCGATGCACATCATCCAGATGGTCCAACGACCACGCAAACGCGTTGACCGCCAGCAGCCCCATGCCGGCGACCTCCTGCCTGAGGATGTCGCGCAATTTTTGCATCAACATCCGAAGCATATGGTGACGACGATAAGGGTGCGTCGACGGCTCGACGACGATAGCACGGGCGACGAGGCGACATCGACGTCGAAAACTCACATCACGCAAGACTCTTCAGACGTGCCGAGAGGACTTTGACAGAAGGAGCCTTAGCCCTCCACTTCCTTCCCTCACGGTTTAACTCTGCCTTCACGAAGTCACCGAAGAACTTGCGCTTTGAGACGGAAAAGAGCCATCAGATACGGCGGCATAATTGTCGTTAGGGAGCAGCGCGACTAGCCGGCGACGTTGTTCCACCTCAAAACGTGGGCGGCCTCCTCCTCGTGCAGCTTAGAGGAGGTCTTGGGGTCGAGGTGGTAGTAGAAGGTCCTGATTTGCTCCTCATTGTGCAAAAGCAGGTCGCCAGGGCGCACAACAAGCACGACGCTGCAGTGCCTGCAGGGAAGAGGTCCGCCCCTGCACACACAAGCAGAATGACGAAGACATTCAGGGTTCTGTCCGGGAACAACAAGCAACACGGTCGACGTGGATCAAACCTCACGGGCGCGGAACACTCACGCGGTGCACAAGGGGATGGCGAGGGCTTCGAAGTCGAAGGCCGTCCTGAAAATCAGATAGTCCGGCTTCGACGCCGTCCTGGCGGCGCGAAGACTCGCAGCGCGGGTCAGGGCCATCCTGCCGGCTTTTCCAAGGCGATCGAGCTCGTACCTAGGACAAGCAGGGGCAAAAATGTGGGAGCGAAACACTTGCGCGGTGAGATACAATCCATGCTGGACGCCGGGGTATACAGACGACAGTCGGACAAGCCGACTCAGACAAAGGGTTCGCACGACGGCGACGTCGCCGGCAGCAAGACCGACGTCGCCGATGTAGGGCCCATGGTCGACGACCAGCAAACTAGTTAATAAGACGACGAAGCGCTACAACGAGCATCATGGCCGGACATCGTCGACCACGCGGGGAGCCGACGAGCCCAACGTCGACCTAGAAACGACGCTGATGTAAACGCATTTAACCCTTTTAAAACTAACTAGGAACTAGGGATGCGCGTTCACGCGAGGCCAAGGTCGAAGCAAGGTTCTGTAAACTCGGCCTTCTCATCGCGAAGTCGATTCCGCCGTGTTGACGCGCAATGCATACCCCACCGCGCATCTCGTTCCCAGGTCCAATCTAGTATGAGCAGTGTACCAGCAGTACTACTGCTAGTAGTAGCACATGGCGGCGTAAAATATGTCCATTTGCACGACTAAAATGCGAGCGTTCCTATCGAGTCATATATGGTCGCCAGGTGTATTTTCCTTCGGTGAGTAGAAAATTTAGGTTTTTTGCAAGCAAGGCGCCGTTCGCTGGTAGCGAGAAGTAGCAATACTAGTAAGAAGAAGCCGTTATCGACCACTGCCTTGTTTTCCTATTTTAAGGTTGATACATGCGCCCACGTGGTGTATTCCTGTCGCTATGCATTGCTATAACTTGATCGTCGCTTGATATTGTTAAATTTGACCACGCCGCTCCGCTGTGGTTTGCGGCAGGCGGCGCTGGTCCCGCCGGCGGTTTTGAGCAGAGGAAATGAGGCGGTCAACCAGCAAACGAACCGGGGTTAGCGCGCCTCGTCAATCAGTAGTAGTAGGCTGCCCGTTTGGTGATTTGCGGACAGGCCCTGTCAGGTGAAAATAGCCGCCGGGTTTGCCGAAAAACAGTTTAGTCGAGCTACAAAAATGAACTTCTAATGAAAGAAAACACTTGCGACAGCTTCTCACTAGTGGTGAGAGAGGGTGAGAGAGAGAGAAATATGGGGAGACGAAATGAGGGTGAGAGCGAGGAATGTTTGTGAGGGATGTGGCTGGACATCCATTTGAGTCCCCACTCGTCAACCTGCCGATCGTCCTCTTTTCCACTTCCTTCGACTTAACACCTGCCCTACCTCCACGCCCTCCCCTTCCTTTCTCTCGTATGCGACCTGTCCTTCATTGCGGCCTCTTCTGCGCCCTTTCCTCTGCTCTTCCACTCACTGCCCTTCGCTCCTCTCCTGCACACCTCACCCTTCCCTCTTCTTTTTGAGTCCCTGCCCTTCCCTCCCTGTCGCCAGCACAAGTTCTACTGGACTGTTAGAAGGCGTCGAGCACAACGTTTAACGGCTGGGTGGTTGGTGGGGACTGCAGTAATGCAAAGCACAGTCACGTGCAATTCCCAGGGCATGATAAAGACGATGTGAGTGGACCCTGTTTCTTTTGCGACAATTTCAAGATACCTAACATATTTGGCAACTCAAATGGTTCCCGATGCTTGAAGCTACATGCACAGCAACTTAAACTAGGGGTGAGAGTGGAACGATGCGGAAAGAGACAATGTAGCCAGAAAGGAACTTCGTGAGATATTGAGGTACAAAGAGCATTGGGATGTGCATGAGGAGGGAAGGGAGCGAGGGGTGTTCATGGAATGGGGAGAGGGGAGCGATTGACGGACAGAGCAAGGTATGAGTGGCAGACATGAGCAGCAAGTAGAGCCGCGGGTCATGCCGTGCAATGTCACACCGTTTTATGCCATGTCACGCCGTGCCATGCATGTCATGCTGTGCTATGCAATGTCATGCCAAGCAATGCCATGCCATGTCATGCCGCGACATGCCATGCCATGCCGTGCCATGCCATGCCATGCCCTGTCGCGTCGTGCCGTGACGTGCCCTGCCTTGCCATGCCAGATCTGCGGGGTTGTGGCGTGCCATGCCATGCGCCATGCCTTGCCATGCCCTGCCATGCCATGCGCCACGCCTTTCCATGCCATGCGCCATGCCTTGCCATGTGTCGCGTTATTAACACTTAGCTGGCAACTAAGGGTGAATATCACAGCAGCCAAGGTGAGGGTGTACTATAGTTTACCGCTTTTGTACTCTAATTTCATTTGTGTGCTTGGAGTGTATTGTACTGTACTGCAGAGCCGAGTAGCTGGGGAATTTGAGGTGGTTAGTGGGAGGCGAATTCAAGGAGGTTGGTGGAGACGAATTCAATTCCAGCCTGTGAATTCAATTTCGAAGTCACAAGGCTGGAAGGCGAATTCAATGCCAGCCTAGGAATTGAATTCGAAGTCACCAGGCTGGAAGGCAATGCATGCCTAATGGGCCCAATGGGAACACAGCTAGCACCTTGGAGACCTCGCGAGCAGCCCGGCTGACTCGCTTGGTGCACAGGAGCTTGCTTGTGGAGGAAGCAACCTAGGCAGGGGGTGGGAATAGATGTAGGCAGGAGTAGCACTCGGGCTTCTTGCTTTTTGCTTGTATGTTTCTCATTTACTGCAATTTGTTTTCCTAATCCAAAGGGAACTAGCAGTAGGAGAAGCTATAAGCAATTTGACGGAGCCCCTGAGGGGGAGTGTTACGCTTGTTTCATACAAGCGAAAAGGTTGTTGACTGTCTTAAGTACAGGAGATAAGCTAGTAGCCTCGAGTCACTCACGGTGATGCGCCGTGAGGAATGAGTAGGCACGATCAGGAACTGCACGCTCATCAGCTGCGCTCAGGACTCCGTTTCCCTGCAAGGATGATGGAGGGACAAGGACTACCCATCAGGACACCTGGATTCCGTGCTGAAGAGGGCGATGCTAACGCGCGCGGGGGTCAGGGATCAGATCGAGAGAGGGAGGGCGACCGACAAGGGGAGCCGCCGCCTAGCGCTACTGGTGGATCAGTCGCTGGTGGGAGTGGAATCGGCCATGTGAGGAGTGGATCTCGAGGGGATAATCCTGATCAAGGAAGAGAAGAGTTTCGGGAAGAACGGCACAGTCAGCGCGGGGAAGATGAACATCACGAAGAAAGACGCCGTCAGAGAGGAGGAGAAGCGTACCATAGCTTTGCGGCGGGTGGATACGAGGCTACTGAAGCTAGGCAAGGTGGTCGGCCGGTGGACAGCGAGGATAGAGGGAACACGAGCTGGGGGACGGGCCACACGATGAACGCAGCTCTACCAAAAATTGAAGTGCCGGACCGTTTCTCGGGGACACCAGGGGAGGAGCCCACGCTCAAGAACTACTTGATGATGATAGATGACCTGCGTTACCTTTGGGAGAGGGAGGGCTTAGACCCTATCGAGTTCTTTAGAGGTTTGGGACGGACTCTAAAAGTCGAGGCCCTGACTCACTACCGCGTGGAAAGGCAGGGGCTGTTGATGCAGTGCAAGAGAGGCGATTTCTCACCAACAATGATAACGGACCGATTTCTGGAGAGTTTGCAGAAGCAATTCCCGGGGCACTCGGCGGAACGGATGGCAGAATTTCATAACTTCGTGCGTGCCACTTCGGAGTCGCTGCTAGCCTATTACAACAGGCTGCTGGAGCTGGCAGAGGACATGGGGTGTATGGAGGAGCGCCTCTTGGTGACGAAATTTGTCAACGGTCTGGACAAGGACCTGATAGGCGACATGAGGAGTCAGCTGTACGTCCTGGGAGTACGCGCCATGCTGCGGCAAGTCTACAAGGTGGCGAAAGAAGTGGAGGAAGGGAAGAGATTTTATGATGGCATGCAGGGGTCGAGTTCCAGCCGACCGAACGAGCGGAAACGGCCGGCCTGGGCAGCTATGGAAGCAAGAAGGGGAGAGGAAGAGCGGAAAGAGAGGCCATCGGAAGACCTGAGACGCTGCCATAAATGTGGAGAGCAAGGACATCTTCGGAGGGATTGTACGGTGGGAATAATCTGCGACACCTGTGGAGCAAAGGGACATTTCAGGCGTGACTTCCCCAAGGCGCCAACCTGCACGGGGTGTGGGAAGAAAGGCCATACCAAAGCTAGATGCTATAGCAAGGGAGACAGGGTGAAAGGGAAAACTGCAAGGGAGCTGCAGTTAGAACGAGAGTTGGCGAAACTGAAAGCTCAGATGGAGAAATCAGGGATCAGTGAAGACCCCGAGAAAGCTCTGCTGGCTTGGGGGGATGACGAAGGGGAAGATTCTGAGGAAGGGGAACCAGAATACGGGACCATGGCTATGCCGCCAAGGGAGAGGGGAGACCTGGGGCTGCGCAGCGGAGGGGCAG